AATCTAATCTAATTATATAATATAATAGTAGGAACTTTTACTGTTCTTCAGAATAAAAACCTAAGACATAGTCTTAACAATCATCAGTAAGTATATATTAATTTTTTTTTGTGAAAATTTGTGAAAACAATAGTATTGTACGTTAAGAAGGAATCGAAATCATAATTTATAAATATTTATGAATTATRTCCACCATTGCCCTCTAATTGGTTGATGTTGAATTGAACAAAAAATTAGTAGACTACATTCCCATGTGCTCTACAGTCATAATTTATCGTGAGGCATAGTGAAAATACTGAAAATGATATTCAGCCGTGAAAATATTGGTAGTATTGTTGGTAGTATCGTTTAGCAGTTTCTAGATTATTTGAACGGTTTACGAACACTGTGCAGACAAAATCCATTATATCGTATACGATTGGTCGGGCAAACTAAGTTTTTATAATAGTATGTAAGTATGTAACACGGAGCGATGTATATGCAATGGTTGTATGTTTAACATTGTATGCAATATTCGACTGTATGCTTAAATGTACCACTATTGCCTATACAATGCGCCGTGTTACATATCATTGTTACAAAAACCGAGTGTGCCATATTTCGTACGACATATTATTAGTGAAATTGCGTACGGCCAAGTAATAATARGATTGTTCGGAGGAATTAAAAAAATCAAATCAAATATGTGACAAGTATTATTTCTATTAAGTGTGTAAAATAYCATTTTAGCCGCTATCGCATTTTTTTCGGTTAAATTGACGCTCTGTAGATTTAACATATCGATTAGGGCTATTAAATTTAATCTATAATGAAACAGTATACCTTTATGTATGACTTGTATGTATGTATGACTGTAATGCTTGACCTACATCAAAAAAGTCTKAATACGACTATTCTATCCACGTGGCACCCATATGATTAGGCGATCTGATTGCGGTGGAACGTCCGGTTAGTTTTCAATATATTTGCAGCTCGTGTATATGATAATTATGCGTATGGTATGTTATGGTTTTATTTATTTGTCCCGGTATGTTTACTGTGTTTTGATAATTTAATTCAATTCTTATGGTTTGAATTAAATCCGTTTTTTTTTTTAAAATTTAAATGATGCGATTAATTATAACCTATAAAAAACTGACAACATAGTCTAATAAAATATATAGTATTTATAGACGTCTGCATATACGCATGCATTATGCATTTAATGCATAAAACACCAACTATATTACAAAATGTTTACGACTAAAGAAGAATCTATATCTATGTATTTCCGAGATACCGCTGAAGGTTATTATATTTTAGAAAATATACSATGGAAAAATGTTACCTGCAGCGTCGCAGAAGTGAGTAATAAATATATAAATAATAATAATGGATTTAAAAACTGATAATGTTGCATCGTAAAAATTGATTGATACACATTTTGACGATATTAACAGTGACAAAGCTTTACTAACATTGAGTAAATTTGTTTTCGTGGACATGACTGGTGAAAATATGTTATACGCAATTTGATGTTTGAAAGATGCAAGGTGTTTTTATCGGTTAATTTATTAAAAACGCGTAAACGTGATCATATCGCTTACGGGATAACGGAATTTATATTAAAGTTAAATATTAACATATTTTTCTAATAATTGAATTATATAGAACTTAATTTGAAATTTTCAGACAGACATTTAAATAGAATTTCTTTGCAAAAAGCTAAACAATTTTAATAATACTTTCATATTATAAAAGAATAGTAAATTAATTGATCGGTTGTAGATTGATCAACCGATTTTCCATACCTAATTATATACAGGTTAGATYGACGATTTYAAGTTAACGAAATAAGACAGGAATGACGTCCAATATAAAAAGTATTTTACTACCAAAGACCAAAGTCGTAACACTCCTATATGGCTATAATATATGCAATTATAGATTAATAGGTACAGTTGTATCGTATCATATGCTAACGTAATTCGTGTAGGTTTTCTTAATACCTAACAATTATTTTCGTATAAATAAGTTTATGCATAAGAATGAAAATGTTTTAATTTTTGAAAGTATCTATCTATTATGCAACGTGGGAGTCCTTTATACCACACGTGACAGCGATCGTACTACGTATAATATAATATTGTATTATTATGTGCACCGGAATTCTTAAAATACTGAATATATCAACGTAAATATTATGACTATTATATGCCATTACCGTAKTAGGATTATTATTATGTTTGTTATGTGTTAATGTGGTTATTATTAGTATTCAGTGTTTAAATCTGAAAATTAAATGTTGGTTTTTTACAATGGTATTGAGTCCACGTGTGTAAAGTTGCATATCAATATCAATAATATGATATTATAATTAATAATCATACAATCAATAACCGTGAAACGTGATGTTTTTTTTGCTATCATAAAAATAACAATAATGTACATGTTCTGAATTATTTTAACTACTTTTAACCAGACCAACAACAACGCTGAGATTAAAGCTATCGACATTAGTATTCTATCTAATCTACACTAGTAGTTATVAAAAGCATACTGACCCTTCTATTCACCAATATTAATATTGTTTTAGGGATTTTATTTTTTATTTTTTAATGCAATTTGCATCCACTGCGCTGGTGGCGTTAGCCTAGAGATAGTAAATCCATAAGCGCCCAGAGTGGAAGCATTTGTCCCCTGACTTTTTAAAGTCAGACTACATARCAATATTTTTCATAGAACATTATACAAGATATAATATTAGATATAAATATCAAAGGGTGACTCTACTCATCAAAATGTCTGCAGGTGCATCGGTCATAGATACMAATTGATTATAAAAATACCAAGTCAAACACATTGCTGTAGCTGAGGGTGTTCCCATCGCGTGATAACGGGTTCGGGAGGCAATGGAATTTCTGCAGGAGCAAGAGTTTTAACAATTTGTGTACGATATGGTGATATTAAAAATATTTTTTTTTACGCAACTTTTAAGTTTATTGACATCTTGAAAATTTGATCTTATTTCTTCCACAACTCTGTGAATTGCATGCGCCACATAGGTTACGCGCACCATTTTTTGATACAGAGTGCAAATGGCTTTCACCATATATGGAGCAGCATCAGATTCAAACATGAGGAGATTATCGACTATTATCCCTTCAGGCTATAATATAAACATGGCTTTATCGAATGCTTTTGCAATGGTTGAATGATTTGTTTTTTYCAAAACATCTGAATGTAACAAAAATATTTTTACTTATAACTTATAAATGTTAATTAAATTATAATTGTGTTCTATGTACAGTGTACTGTACATGTAAGCATTGTAAGCTCAAATTCCTGAACAATAATTTGTCATAAAATTTGTATTTTGACAAATGTGCTTGCCGAAATATACATTATTGTGTTATGCTGTTATGCAGTATGATATTTTGTGTAACAATATCAGTGATAGATACATTATTTACCACATGTAAATTTAACAGAAAATTAAAAGGAATCTAAGTTACTAGGATYAGAACAAATTTGAATGGATTATACATACATATTACCGAAAGGTGAATTACATATAATATASTATGTAATTAGTTTAATGTCATATTTTATTATTTATGTAAAAAACAAAACAATAATAAATTATCAGTGTATCAAAATAATAACATTTGAGCATTTAAAAATATCTAAAATCACATATGAGAAATAATACTAAAAATTAGAAAGACTATGGTTTCCGCAGTTTTTCTGATCATGCTTGTATCATAATTAATAATTTTTATGATGGAGTTTACAATATGTATAAGTATAATGAAAAAGTAAAAATACTTGTACCAATAATGTTCCCAATTTTTTTTCAAATTTATCTGAGAAAAAATTGATATAAATTTATTAATAGGGTTTACATTAAAAAAATTACACTTCCATCATTTTAACCATAATCTAAGTACAATTAATTATAAAACAGTAATATAAGACACAGTAGATAAAAATATCTTTGGTTTTAAATTTTCTCAACTTTGACATTACATTTTAGTATCAATTATAAAATCATTAATACATTTAAGCAATTATATAATTAAAAAAAAACTTAAAGTTGACATTTATGAATAAAATATAGATTTTATTTTCATAGCACTAACTTTAATAAAAATGTTTACAATTAAATAATGTATTTTGCAAAAGTAGAAATAAATTATTAATTAAAAATTTAATTCATTATTTGAACATTCTTAAAACATTGATTAGAAATTTTTTAAACGGAAACCATTAGTTCTTTCACTTACAACCACTAAATAAAACATTCACACATTTGGTTCGATACAAAACAAAAATAAAAATTGGTATTATTTCAACATGCATTCACATCACGCAGAGAAAATAATAAAACAAATAGACTTAGTTTTTTTTTACACACTAGATACGGTTATTGATTCCATTTATTTGGAAATAAGTTACGTAATATATAATATTATTTAGGGGTAAAAATATTTTATGACTAGTAAGACTGGGATCAAAATATTTTTTCACTTACGCACCCATGAATTATAAAAGGAACAAATAATAATTCCAAATTTTAACAGTGATAAAAAGCATATTATTTAAATTGTATATAATATAATATATACTTACATAGCATCAAAGATAATAACTTCTATCCGAAAATGTAAAATATTATAAAATAGCTTTCGTTAATATACTATTTACAATTTTAGTAAAAAAAAATAAATTATTTTTAATAAAGTTACTAGGCAGTCGATTAATTATTACATAAAAAAAAAAWAATAATAAATAATTGCAATAATATTGGTGTATGATAGATGCGTAATGAATTAGGAATGCATACTATAAAATATACTACTATGAAGCCGCTACACCATGAGGTTGTTCTTTGGCTGTCTCAGACTGATGACTAATCATTGCTTCCACTTCAGGATATTGCATGCGCACAGAGTCAACAACGTCTAACAGGTTTTTGGCATCCATAGCCAAAATATGGCCCGAWGACAACATTTCTCTATAAAAATTACATTTTAACATGTGTTATTCTTGCTATAATATTACTACCAAGGTCAATTTATTAACACTTACTTGCTATACAAATAATCAACAGCAGTGTGACAGTAATTTTGAGCTAGTTTCATGGCGTTGACTAGCTCGGCCATGTCTTTGCTGAGAACTTTATGTGCCATTTCCACCTGAAGTAAAATAAATATTTTCAATAAGTATTAAGTATGAACGATGCCTATTCGTATTAATCTACCTGTTTGTGAGCACTTTGAGGGAAATATGGTACCAGGCTATCAACACTTGTCAATAAAGCTCTGAGTTGGAGACCAACCTCCTTGACTAGTTCCAAATATCGATCAGTCTGATTTTGTTGAACCCCTATAGATATTCATTAACATTTCATATTTATTTAAACTCTTGTATACAATCTATGATAATTGATAATTATTATATTATTATTTTAACCTTGTGAAAGGGTCATAACAGCCTTGACAACTAGTGTGGTACACTCATATACTTTATCATGAGTTCTGTCCAAATCGGCTGTTGGCGTGGGTTCDAGTTTCTGTAAGTAATATGGAAAGTTTAATAATAAAATAGTAAGCATTTTGATATCTTAGTYTAAAACTTACCTTAATTACAACAACCCGGTCTTCTGTAGGTTTTGTTTTAGTACTTCGATCTAGGGAAGAAGGAGGTGTCAACGATGATCTACCATCAATAGATTCATTGTCTGACACACTGGCTACTAAAGACAGCCGCTTTTTCTAAAATAATAACAAAATTGAAAATACACATCATAAATAGTTTATGAAATCAATCAACATTGAACATACTAAGTTTGTCTCTTCTTCAGCCAGCCATATATTGTCYCTTTCAGACTCAATTTGTTGTTGTCTTAGCTTGCGTTCCAGCTGTTCAACTTCAGATAAAGGTTCGTTATCATACACACCGATCGAGTTGTTTGCAAAATGTTTGGCTCCCTAAATATTAAAAAATGAAATATAATCACATGCTAATCATTAACTTATAAACTATAAAAATAACATGCATAGTGTTTTTTTAAAATTTATATTATTTCTATGTGAACATAACACCATAGTATTATTTGGGAAGGTGTGTGAGATACTGAAATAGCATCAYATTWATTGGTTTGCAAGAAGCAGTATATGTTAATTCTATAAAATGTATAATAAAAGGCAACAGCGACAATGTAATACACAAGGCTTGAGTGAAACATGTCGTAAACACTGAACAAGACACTTAGATACAAAACTATCAAAAACAGTTACAGAGTACATGACAGGTACAATAATAGATGCACATTGAAATTAGTGTTGTTAACAGTATGCAATCTTGAAAACAAGAACATTAATTAAAATTTAACCTAATTTTGTGAATGTAAAGAATCCATCACCCAACTTACATCTATAATAACGATTAGAGAAAAATTAATGCTAACATATTATGGGGAAAAAATCTTAACAAAGCTAGTCACTTTTGGCGGTCCACAACAACGAAATCGATGAAAAGATACATATTTTCAACGTTTTTAAGGACATAATTACAACTAGTTTTTTGCCACCCCTTTAACTTTACAAGTTAAAGGCCAACAGTGTTAAGCACAACCCCTGCACATATACTCTTCATGTGCACCATCTACAAAAGCAAAAGATTATCATGCAAAACCCTCAGGCATATATCATTAGGTAAGTCACACGCGAACAACAAGCTGAACCTCATCGTTATTCATTCCTCCACCGGTCGCCGCTGTAGCGRCAGCAGCAGCGGCGGCAGCGCACGTGCCCAGACTGCCGTCTGAACATCGCCTGCTTTTGTCCGCCGAGTTTGGCGGAAGCGTTAGTAGCGAAGCTGCCCCCGAAGTAAAGTTCCTAGGCAACGTCTTGTTAGTGGACGGCTGGACGGCGACACCACCACCACTGCCACCGTCCATCGGGATAAGTCCCACAGAGTCCATGCTCAGTATACTGTTCCCGGCCGAAATGGTTTTGTCGTCGTCGACGTCATTAAGGAAATCTACGGTTACCGTGTTGAATCCGGTTGCCGGGGTCGTGTACACGGATGGGTTGACGACGCCCCGTTGCTCGTTCTCCTTCAACAGGTGGGCGAGCACCTCAGCGTTTTGCGCCACTATGTACGTGGACACGGGCAGCTCGGACTTATTGTTGTGCATGTCCACGCTCGGCTGACGAGAAGGTTTGGGTGGCGCAGATGGGTCGTCAAGAGAGCCGCTGGATCCTAAATTGTATATATTCAAAATTCACAGTATAATATGGTCACTKTTTATATAGGTTTTTATTAAAAACAACACATTCTTAGTATTCAAAAGCGATGGGCAATAAAAGACATCCCTCGGGAGATGACAAAGACATTAGTCAAATAGTATTACATTTCRTCACCCATCCCGCCCTTATTGCCGTTGTTGGTTTTATTCGGTGTTTAATTTTCAATATTTTCGCTCACCCCAAGACAGAGTGTGCACTCTGCGATTTTCTCTCCGGAGCGTTTCCTTCTGCTGGTGTCTCTCTTCGATCAATATCTCACTAAAACAACATAATTAATGAAACCGTATTTTCAACGCATACTCCAAATTGTTGAGGTGTCGGTATTTTATACATGTATCAACGTACTTGAGCACTTCTTTGACATCTCTGAATGTGGGCCTCTTGCTGGGCTCGAACGACCAACACTGCGACATGAGACTGTACAGTCTTGGGGGACATTTGGGCGGCAACGCCAGCCGCTCGCCGTTTTCGATTTTGCCAATTACGTCATTGTTCTTGATGCCTTGGAACGGTTTCACGCCCATCATCAATATCTCCCACATGCACACGCCGAACATCCAAACGTCGCTGGCCGCGGTGAACCGCCGGAAATTGATTGACTCCGGTGACATCCATTTGATCGGCAGTTTGCCCTTTGATGCCTTGTAATAACTTTGGTCTTGGACCCACCGCGACAAACCAAAATCGGCAAGCTTCACGCAGTGGTGTGATGACACTAGTACGTTTCGGGCAGCTATGTCTCTGTGAAAACAGTTTTGGTTCGTTTTAATTAATTCATATTAACGGGCAACGATACATATTATAATTACATTCTCGTCGCGTAACTATTTGTTCGAGTAATATTATTAAATATTAAACACCTTAAACCATAATAAACATCATTTTTTTTACCTGTGAACAAATTTCTTAGATTCTAGATATGACAGAGCTGTGGAAAGTTGATACGAATACAGGATGAGAGTGGCTAAGTCCAAGTGGGCCTGGTTGTTCTGCAAATATGCCCGTAACTCGCCTAGCTTGGCCAATTCCATGACTATCCACACGGGTGGTGAACAACAAACTCCGATCAGTCGTATGATGTGCGGGTGATCGAACTGTTGCATAATGTCTGAAACGCAAATAACATAATTATTATATATCTATATTAGGAACGAAATGTGAATAAATATCACTAATTATATGTTTGTACTATAATATGTTAAGTTATAGGGTTTATAGCCTTTAAGATCAAATTATATCTGTGTGTACAAGTAACTGTAATATACTTTCATTACTTTTTTTTTTTTTTTTTTTTAAATATTTTACATCGAAAATCATAATATAAATTATTAAAATCAGAAACAATTCAAAACATGTTAAATTTCGGTAAAAGTGTAGAGTCTACACTAGAAGTGAAATCTAGGCATTACAAACAGATTATTATCTAAGAATTAATACAATAGACAGCTTAATAAAACATCCAATATCATCTAAACTCTACTTATAAATAAAAATTATAGAAATTTGATTGTGCGGCAGTGTGCACACTTACACGCTTCTTCCAAAAATTTGTCAGTTGTCGCCATGTCCGCATCAGGCTTACACGTTTTTATGGCCACTGCTACATCATTTCCCGGTTTATTTTTAATTGAACGCATGTGACATATTCCTTTGTGTACATCGCCAAATTGACCTTCTCCTATGATTTCACCCAATTCAACCTGGTCGCGGAACAGCTCATAATTACAATCTAAAAATTAACAATTTAAATAGAGAAAGACATAAAAACGTTTCAATGTTAGTATAAGCGAACTCATCTATAGGTACTGTGTTTTGAATTATCAATAATTCTACATAATAGCGTCGTTTAATAYATCAATTATTTTTTTCAAATGGCAAAATAATAAACAACATTCTAACATTTTTAACGAAAGTATTGGAACAAAATTCGTACTTCGAAATAAACTCAGAAAACATAATATATGATACCATAAATTTGAATATATTATAATACAATGTAATATATAATATATAACTTAACCTATATCATATATATATATATATATATAAAAAGTAAAAAGTATAAAGTAAAGGAGAATACGAAAATTCTCATTAATTAAGTATTTAAAAGTATTATACGTTAGTGAGAAAAATGAACTTTTTGTTAGTGTTGTCATTTAATAACCGATTATTCAACAAGTCTCACTTAGCTTGTAATAATATATGTATATACAAGTAGTATATGAATAAAGGTCAATATTGGGATGTTTAGTGGAGAGCGTTTGTTTAAAAATATATTTTATAATATTCAATTAAACATGTCAGGGCACTGAATATTGGATAATAATCTGTACACGCGTCAAAATAATATTAAAATATACCAAAGATTTTTATAGYCAAATTACGTACTAGCAAGAGTTGAGTAATCGCCTTCTTCTTCGATGGGACCGTCGTCAGGATAATCGTCAGAAAATCTTGAGGGCGCTTTGGTTTTGATTTTTCCAGAGTCTATAAACGATAAACACAGTCAACAACAATATATTATAAACAAAATACATATGTAACACAGATGATGGATTAAATTACATATTATATCGTTAAATATGTTAATACAAAAGTATGATAAACAATAGGTAGCAAATTGTTATTGATTGTGTTTTTGTTTATTTAACACATACCTACCTTTAGAATTGCACGGACATGGAAAACGGTTCCATATAGCAGCTTGGAAATTAAAATTTACAAATATGAACAAACACGTAAATATTACTTTAATGATGTCAGTGATTGTTATACTTTAAAATTGAAATACTTTATTGATATTTATTATTTCATCTGTCGCTCACCTTTTTTATTCCACAACGAAATGTTCGTTTTCCTAGCCAGTTGGCAGTAACCGTCAATCAGATTAGCCAGGCTGTACATGTGCTCGAGCGTCGAACAGCTGAGTACCAGAGGATCGGCCGAATCGGTCACTTGGAGCTGCACCAAGGTTTTACGGTGTGTTTCGCATTCGGATACCAGTGTCTGTATGTTTTCGATGTGAGCGAAATCCGCCATTTTAGTAGGCTGGAAATGCATATCGATAAAAACCAACCAATTATTTCTGTACGGAGCTAATATACAAAAAGTAAACAATTAAACAAAAGTTAAAAATATTTACTTACCGCCGACCCCTGGTTATTTATGTAAGAAATACCGTGTCGCGGTCCGATCACTAAATCCACCGGTATCGTCCAACCAGACTGAAAAATGATTAAAAACACAATAATAGTATCAATACGATAGTCTATCTTTAATATGTACCTACAACATTACGCAATTACAATGAGAGAAAATAAACACACTCTTGGATTTTATTCAAACTTACTCCGATTGAACACTTGAACTGTTCCTCGTCGTACTTATAAAACGACCAAACGAGGTTGAGAAATTGTAGTACGCATTCTTTTTCGGGCGTTTGCGAAAGTTTTTTATACTGTTGCTGAATCATTTTTCGTAAATTCTTTGGTTTCGTAGATTCTAGTATATAGTAAGGCAGAAATTTGTTGAGTCCGATCTGGGCGGATGAACAAAAAAAAAAACAATAACCATGTAGCATTATTTATAGGATCGAATGTCGGTATAATCCTGTATATAATTTATGGTTTACTCTATAAGGAAATGAATATAAACAAAACATTTTAGTCTTACTTCACGTTCCAGATACTCCAAATTGGATTTCTTTTCCAACGACATTTGAGGCACTTCTCGGAAAAAACATTTTATTTGTAGACAACAGAGTTGTACAGCCATCTCCGTGTCCACTCGGGTTGCTGGATCGTTTTTTTTCAAATAATCGAACCGTACCTAAAACACGTTATTTAAAGTACTTTAATATAAAATTACTAGACGCATGATGATAACCACACATTAGGCAATGGMTAGTTTAGAAACCACCATTCGTTGACCGAGAAACAAAAAACRAATTCAGCCCCATGCTCCCACAAGTAAATAGAGATTACAATTAAATTTAAACTAAACATTGTGACGATATTTTAGCCGATTGGTATTACCTTATCGCGATATATATATTAATAATATCGATTTTACTATTAGTCATTTGTTTTGGTTAAATCCTTGAAATTATTGAATGCCTTTGATAATCATATCTCCATATTATACGTAGTTATATTGATTATTGTAGAAACAGAAATTTTACATCGAGTACATCATCTTGTTTTTATAGTCATTAATTTAGAAATGTATATATAATTAATTATCTGTTTATCAATTTGCAAGCCACTATCATTTCTAAATACGATTTTTCACTGCATAAAAGACACTTTATATAACTATAGCGAATAGTTATGACTTATGAAGCATGATTTATACATATCAAGTATATAAAAACAATTTTACTTAACGCAGTGGCGGTTACTAAAACTTATACAGTTACACGGTTCAGTAACACTTACTCAACTCAAGTGGGAGGAAGATCATTATAATTACTACCAATTAACAAGAAAAAAGTAAATAGTGTTTAATACGGTCAAATTACTTACTTTTGAAACAGTTATTTTTGTTAGTACACACGAAACGTAATAATGAATTATAATATATAATCTATGAATTATATACACAATCTTATGTATGTACAGATAGGGTATTTATGTACTTGAGCGTTTTTATACTATATATTTATTATGTATATAATTAGGGAGATTCATATACATAAAACATAATACATATACATACGGTTATTAGGGCTGAATCGGCTGAAAATTACATACTAGAAACGTATTACAAGCGTTTCCCACATAATTTTCAATTAAACCTCTGCAGGCGGCTTTGTTTTTCCAACAATTATATTATAACCATTTTACTTTAGCTGATRTATATTATATTACGACAACTTGTCTATATGGTTTATCAGAGGTGGAGTTTAAAAGCCTATATATAGGTACGCGACAAAAACCAGTAGCAGGCGGATCATTGTCTTATCAGTTACTGGTGCAGGATTGAAATTTACGATGCACCTACCTATATTATATTATATTTTAAATGCAAGTTTAGAGGAAACGTTCTTACTTGATCATAATAGAAGAAATACGTAAACCGGTCTYGGTCATATAGGTCCTCCAAGTCTTCGGGCGAGTACCGTACGCGTAGCTCGAACCTCCATTCAGACATTGGATACTGTTCGTCGTACTTCTGGTAAATCTATCACGGGCAAAATAATAAATATATTTTGGAATTTTATTATTATATATATATATATATAACACACAGTTTGCGAGCTTATTGTTGTTATTCGTATAATACATAGCAGTGGCGCAACCAGGATTTATTCAAGGGGGGGGGGTCTAAAAAAATGTATTTAACTACTGTTTTTATGTCCTTTTCCTGAGTATATACATACATTTCATTTCTTAATAAACACAATTTGCCGGGTTTAAGACCAATAAAAAAAACACACAATTATATTATTTACATTTTTAAATTTATATTTACAATCTACCTATGKCAATTAATTATTATTATTATGCCAATTAAATTATGGTATAGTCAAAACTCATAAGTCTACATACGTATATATTCTATATCTTAAACTGTAGTTGAATACAGTATGTTATCGACAATCGTTGATAATAGTATTGTTATATGATATTATCTAATGCATCGGATTCGACGTGTTATCAACAAAATACCTAATGTCCAAATCTAATCTAATAACTAATAAGTAATAATCAATCTAATCAATAAGTTTCGATGAACATTTCACGGAAACTTTTAAAAATAAAAATAAAACTATGACATAAGCCAAGGGGGGGGGGTCCGGACCCGGGGTCTACCCTCCTGGGTTCGCCACTGATATATAGATACATATATAATATATACCAAACAAATCTATATATATACAGGATGGGCCACACTGTGTTTCCCACTTTCCCATAAGGCTAAAATAGAAAAACCGAGAAAACCCAGGAGTCCACTTTGTATATAGATAAAAATATTCATTGCATTATTATCATAATTTTTTAGTAACCTCGGACATTGTACAATCCTGATGTAACCAGTGAACCTCGCCAGATAACGGATGGTACAGCTGCAATCCGTAAACGCCTTGATACTGTAGACACCCATTGGCTAAACGTCCAGTGACTAGAGATATGATACCCTTGAAAACACAACATGAAAACAAAATCAAATGTCATTTATAATCAACGTTTGGCATCCAAAACGTAATAATAGGTACTATAGATTATAGTTAGTGATGAATGATGATATGATGTATACATAGTAAACATGTAGTATTTAAAAACTGTTTGTCGTATCGTAGTCAACATTTTAAATATAATATATGTACATTTCTACAAAATATACAAAATAAGTGAACGTATTAATTGAATCGATCGATATAAGATTTCTTCAAAAATAAATTTTTTAGACATTTAATAGGTATAACCACTTTCTATAAAAATCTATTTTTTAGAAATTTAATTTTTTATTGTTTGATTACGACCAGCATTATTTCAATTTTCAATTCTAAAGCAAAAAATTATAATTTTTTAATATTCAACATTTATACTACCTAATTTTTTGAAAAGTATACCTATTCTTATAATWACATTTATGAATTTTTATAAAAAAAAAGTAGGTCAGCATTTCGTGGTGGATCGTCTCTTCGGTCCTCGGACAGGATAGTGTAATTTTACTGTATTYGATKTGAATGCAATGATTGCATTCGATAAAAAACAATTCTGAGCGGACGAGGGAATCTTTTTAATTTAATTTTATTCATTTCTATGGAGATAAACAAAGCGTTATAAGAACAGCTTAAGAACGATTTAAATAAATAGGTAGGTAATAATAAATAGGGGAAAAAAAAGAAAAAGAAAAAGCTCAAATGTTTTGGAAATTTTACCACGTCTATAAGGTAAGGATAATATAAGTAAACAACCTGAATTTCAAGTTTTTACTGAATTACATCAACAAAAAACTCTCAAAATTAAAATGTCTTTAAATAGCTCAAAAATGGCTAAAATTTTCCGAACTTTAAACCATAGGAAATAAAATCCAAAATACAACAAAGATCTCTTGTCATTTTTAATTTGAAGCAATATTTCTGGTAGAAAACGTCGTCCGTAATTATTTAATATTATAAAATCGTAAAATTGTACGTTTTTCTCCTTTAAACGCTATTATTTCAAGTACAGTTTCGAAAATCTAAAGTACCAGCTCAAGAACATTAACTTTCAGAAAAGATGCTACACTTGATACTTTTGAGCAAGTTTAGAGGGAGAAAAAGTGTTTACAGAATAATAATAATAATAATAAAAAAAAAAATAAACATAATTGTAAAACCAATACATTCCTCGCTCCGCTCAAAATCTAAAAAAAGATATCACATAGTTTAATTGTTTCTTACTAGGTATGTGTAAACTTCATTAAAAATTAAATTGATRATTATGTGTGTATATAAATATATCATTCAAATAATAATCACCTTGTACAATACATTAGGTATAAAATATTTAGACACAATATAATATATTATTTGCGATTGACTTTGTCTGTTGTAATACATTTTTATATTTATTTTACCTTGACATTAATGTTGTCAATGAACTTTACAATATTAAATCCGTTGTTGGGCAAGTGTACTTTGATCGATCCAGTTTTGGCAGCTGGAACCATTGCGGCTCCGCTGCCGCTTTCAGCCATTTCCGTTGATTTGGCCGACGGTTCCACCACCGGCGTTTTGCTACCATGACTGAAAAAATCAGATTTAGATATATTATTATTATTATGGGCTGAATATTTTGAAATATGAACTCAATAATATATAACAAAAAGCGATTTCRCCAACGATCACTTTAAATTAAATTKTCGACGTCAATATGTCCTATCACCAAAAAGAAACTAACATGTAAATATAATATACATATTGAGGGATRGATTAAAATATACATTAAATAATAATTAATGTTATGATAGGTTCTTAAGTCAAATACCTAGCATTATACATTAATATGTTTGATAAAGTTTATCTTTATATGAAGTCATGAAGAGCCTTGGCTTTGGCTCTCATTATTGCTGCAGCAGAATTTAGTAGTATTAATCAACAAGTTGGACTAATAGGCGTAGGAACTTGTCTAAAATGTCTAAAAATGTTTCAAGAAGGTACTAGGTATTATGCCTATTAAGGTTGTTAAATAAGATAACATTATATATGTGTATACTGTTAAGTCATTACTAATTATATACTTATTAAATGCACGCAGACACATCGCATCGTGGGGTCGGTTAGGCGTGCGAGATAACTTATTTTTATACACCTACTATAATAAATTAATAAAGTCTGTATAATATGTATATTATATATTATATTTGCATAATAATAAGGAATTTAATATTGTTGTCAATGCATCGACACACCGAGTTCAAAGGTCAACGTAATTACATATTATACGCTTATTATTACACATTATAATATGTTGAACGGATTTATCCCACGCGTGCGCGATGAAAATGCACATGCCTAATTTATTCCCGTCTACAATAATATATATATAGCTAGATGATGTGCATACGAGGGGGATTCAAAACGTGTATATATAAATCCATATGTATGATATGCATGATATACCAACACGGAAAAATAATCATCCTACTCGCGAGTTCAAAAAATAGTTTATCACGTATAATATTGTACGTGATATTATAATATGGTCATGAATCATTATGATATTATCATCAATATCCATTGTACTTATAAAGTATACAAAAAAATTAATTTTTGTATTATTACGTTTTCAATCATCATCATTCGGTTATGATATACAGATTATATTACCATAATTATCCATTAATTGCTGAAGGATTAAAGTCGTAATGGAAAAATAAAATACAGGCACCTACATCAGAGCCAACTACACGATTTAAAATTCGCAGAATGCAATTTATTCATTTTCTACATGGTGAATACTCATTGGCAAACGGTCAAGCACGGATAGTTTGGTATGTAATACATAATAATATTATATTATCTTCTTAAATTGTTTTATTTTTTATAATATACCAATAAGTAATAGTAGAAGCGTCTCAACTCGTGTATAGACCAAAAACGACACCGTCCCTGAAATCCGCAAACGAGAYGTGTAATGATGTGATGCATAAACATTAAACATTTTAAAATCGTACATGAGTTAATAGMAACGTGTAACCAAGTAGCAATATATTTAAACAAACGAATTTATCTTACAAAGAGAACAATAATTTATAGATAAATATATAGTGTGATTAAAATAATAAAAGTAAAAGTATAAAAACTATATGATTGATATTGGTTTTAATATAAAATAAAATAATAATCTAAAAAATATTGTCGAATGTATGAGATTAGACAATTTTTTTTTAGAATAAAATAGCYTGGCTAACGGGAAAAACGTACTTTTTTCACATTCCAAAAGCGTTAATCATTCGAATCGTAGTGCAGCCAAGAGAACGTAAAATAAAAAAAACGTGATGTCGTACAGGTGTCGATAAAGCGAGGTATATACATAAACTAGTAAAAATAATATATAGTGTGGGCATTGGGCTGCCTGTTTGCATAATATATTTGTATATATAGGTATAGAAAGCGAAGAAAGYGACAGAATGGCGTTTTAAACCTATATAACTCTACCTACTTGAAAAATTCACCACGATCCGGGGATCATTCAAGCATTCAACGCAGAATATTATGCATGAGGGGGGGGGAGGACGTCAATACCATTATGATTAAATTAGGATTATTAATAGAATCAATATTATGTTTAATTGTTTTAAAAACATACCATATACCTATAAGTACCTAATTACTGAMAAATATAAAGAAATAAAGTTTCAAAGTTTTGATCGGGGTTCAACCAAATTAATTCCCCACCCAACCCTTGAAAACGACAGACTGCATTTTTAGACCAATTATACAGTTATATATACATCGTCAACCGCAGTTGCAGCAGTTTATGGTTGCCTACGCATTTATGTATAGGTTAGGACCTACACGGCAAAGAACAAAGATGTCTACAGACGAGTTGGCCGAAGATCTTCAGCAGAATAATATATAATATATTATGCGATACGCGAGTCAAATATGTGCGTGGACGCTATATACGCCCGCGCCGACGTAAAAAACAATGTGGACCGGACGAAACGACGCGATCCCCAAAGTGGTATTTCGCGAAGGGCAATTGCTGTGGCGGACGGCGTCTGATACGACGCACTCGTTGGCCGTTGGCGAACACATGTCGCACGAGCGTATATAGCTYGGTGCCGGTTTTCTATCTCGTTTTTCCACGCACACACGACCTGCGAGATCTGGTTCTTACCATATTATAACGTACCTACAGGTACACGACCGTGTGTAAATCATGAACAACATCGACAACAATCGCCAACATCTGCYGAACCATAATACATATTATTATTATWATATGTCATCGCGGGAAGGTCTCGGCGAACACGCGGTAACGGAGGAAAAATAAGTCGCCCACTCGGTCGGTTGTCGTCGATGACGACGACGATATACGGGCGCACACACCTTTTTTTGTCTTTCGAGGTCGACCGATGGCAAGACGATATATAATAATAACATAATAATATAATATTATAATATGACATAAAATAATATAATGGCGTAACGCGAATACAGTAAAAATATTATCTTTAAGTGCCTATATATATAATTATGCACACATATAAAGTAGCCACGATTGTATTCGAAGTGCGTATAGAACATAAAATATAATAATATAATATAAAATATTTGAAAACGAAACGAAATGACTGCAATAATGAATATAATCATAATCTACGGAAGGCGCGGGTGTCGTCGTCGTACCTTAACCGCTTGAAACGCCACGTGTGCGAAACGTTCGAGAATCCTCCGTTGTTGCAGGTGGTCATGGCCGCKGCGGCCGCCCGTTTGCGCACGGCCGCTGGTTCCGTGGGGTTGCATCCGCCCACCACCGCCGATGATCGGGACGACCCGCACGACGACCAAAACTTGGCGGCCAACTTTCGTCCACTTGTCCTCAAACCGTCGCGGCGTTGACACTCAGTCACCGCACCGCCGCCGTGGTAACTGTGAGGTCGGAGCTGCGGCGGCGACGGTCGGGGGCGCCGTTCCACGTTCACCTGGTGCAGGTATGACGACCGGCGGCCGGGCAGCACGCGGTCAAGCGCGCTGGCCAACATCGTGGCCGCTTTGGCGGCGGTGCGAGTCGCACGAGTACACCACCGACGCCGCGCGATCGGTGTTCAGAACGTGCGGTGGACGTAGTGTATGACTGTATCGGTGGCGGCGGCGGCAGAGGAKAAACCGTCGTTTTTTACCGCCGTACATATTATTTCGTTGACGTAGTCAGTTTTTATTTTTGGCCTTTAGAGTATAGCTTTCTCAAACACAACACATGCGCAACGCAATTTTTGTATTTATATGATAATGATATGTTGATATAATATTATTACTATTATTTTTTATGATTGAAGTACGTGCGYGAATGGGCGTCGGTTTTCGTTATTATTAAAATATTTTTTAGGGTATGGCCGGTTACGCGCGTAACGGACGCAACGCGTGCAACAACCAGGGACGAAACAGGAACTATTGCTGCTGCTGCTACGGCCGCAGGTGTGTCCTCGTWAACACCTTATAAACATAGTTAACAGAAAATACTGAAATAAAAATAATTTCATAATAATATACGTATAAGCACATATTATACGAAAAACCTCCCAGCGATATGAAGGCACGTGTGTGCACAACACAACGACGTATGGTTTACTTTCACTGCAAAACGTTTATGTATTTTATATATATACACGTAAATAGCGTTTTATGTGTGTACCTATATATAATATTTCACTAAATCGCATTCGAAGAGATTTCCAATCGCGGGAAGAAAATCCGTTCACGAAAAATCGACTTTTGTAAGTTTTTACATCCCCGTTGTCATCAGTAATATGTGTTTTATTATCACCAACTTCATAAATACCTATATGTATTATAATAATTTACAATGTATAATGAATGGTATGATTGCGCTAATGAGTAGGYGCTGGTTGGACGTGTGGAGGAGGTCACACACGCGGACGACACTCCGCTAGAGGGGGTTTATTCTAGATGAGGATAATAAAACCGTTCGTTTCCTTATCCCCTTCTTTGGTAGCAGCGCAATTTATGTAAATACATCTTTTTTAAGTGTCATCGCATGTGCAGCAGTGCGGTATAAGATAAATTGGGCTAAATTTAGTTTAACCTGTCAACCGCAAAGGGACCAATGCCAAAAAAGTGATTTTTTACCCCTTCCGCATCTTTACCATCCTTAAATGGAGTACGAAAGTTTTTAGTTATTTTCAAGAATAATAACCATAGACAGAAAAAWTTTTTTTTATTATATCATACACCACAAGCATATTATAGATATATAGTTGCGTCAGAGATTGGGAAAAAACGAATTCCTATACGATGCCCTTGGTATAKAATATAATATACGCACAACAAGGTAAAACGTGGGATGGGCTTATCATCGGATATTTATTATTAAAAATATTGTTCTTTAGTTGTCCTAATAATGCTATCCAAATTTAATATTTTGTTGATTTTCAATACAACAATATAAGTACAAGAGATATTTATATATTTTGCGTTTCAGATTTCTCGAACGTCAATACTATTAAATAAATGTACTGTGTAATAGGATAGGCGTATAATATTAAGGTATACTATATTAAAGGTCATGACACATTTCTTTTTGAGTCTAGCGATACATAGACATTAAAAATCTATTAGATTTCAAGAAAGGTATGTTAATTGTCAAATATAAGTAAGCATTTAAGAGTAATTTGAACTTAAAATCATTAACAGAAACCTTAAATGTAGTTCAAATCTGATGATAATTTAGTGTTCGTCGAAGACAAAATGACTAAGCCTGCGAGATAGTGTTAAGAATTTGAATATATAATAAGTTATTAAAACTATAATTTTTATGGATACAGTATTCTCTACAGATTGGAATCTGGCGATAGCGTTTCATGAATTAGGTACATTACATCTACTTATAGATAAAAATTGTCTTTAACCGGAAGAAGTTGCACACACAATTTTACAATTTATTATTTCATGAATATAAAATCAAATTCTATATTTGAAGATCTTCGTGAGATTAACGATTTAATTAACTGAACTACTGCAAAATTTGCACTATTTAATAGTATGTATAATGAACTAGCAAAACGAAAATTACATTTATTGGACATAAAAGTATTTGATAGTTTTGAATACTTTAATGATAAATAATATGATGTGAACTAAATTAGTTTTATAATGGTAGGCTAGGAGTGTCTTAATAGTAAGGTCGTTGTATGATATGGTTAATTTTTTGAAATAATTAATCTTGATCTCTTAATCTTACCGTTAAAATAGGTACGAGATTAAATCGGTCAAAATTAAATAAATTAAAATGCTTCGTTCAACTATATATTATGTTATATGCTATATCCTGGTTGTGTTTATGMAGAATTTTCTGTGATAAAATGCTAAAACTGATTTACATAAGGTCATAAAAAAAATTCATAATCTAACGAATTATTAAAATCACTCATAATCAAAACAAACATTAGTACATTATATTGTATTTTGATTCATTGTAAATAATTAAAAAAGTTATACTGAAATTTTAACATAGTTAAAACACTCAACTTCATAATAAAAAAGAAACGAACAAATTCGTCATCACAAATAACTTTCACAACGCGTATACACAGATGATAAATCTTGAATAAATGTAAGTACCTTTCGTATGCGCTACTGATTGTTCATTGGAATGAGATGTACAGATTTGGCGATGTAATTAAATGTTTTGCGACACATTATTATTATCATAACTTTAACTATCGTCTTTAAAGTATRATGTTTTATAAAAGGTGGGAATAACTATGGTTCATTAGAATAATATATTTTGTTTGTACCACTAGGTAGGTACATTAAATTAAATTTAGATATCTTTTTTATAGGTTTTGGAATTATATTTTTAACCTAGGTTGTCCTACAATTAAATATTATTTTTATTTTTTATGTGAAAACAATTATATATAATTAAATTGTGTGTACAACTTTTGAATGACCATAAAATTAGTGATAAATTATCAAAAAAATGAAATAAAAATAATTCTCATTAAATTGTTTATCCTATTATAGTTACACACATATAAAGCCAGTAATCACCAAAAATATATATACATTTAACTTGCACACAAACTCGATTGGGTTATAAAATAGCGATAAAATATCAGTTCTTAAAAATTTACGACCGAAATTTAAATATATAATGAAATAATATATATATTAATAATCGTTTTAGATTTCATCGTCGGTTATTAAACTAAACACACGAAATATAAAAATGTTAAACTTTAAATTAAAGCTTAATCACTGATCGCGAACGAAATACGTAACAGCGATACAGTCACGACCGGTCGCGGTAAGCCAATGCAGCAGCTCACTAATAACCGGTAAATACTGACTAGTGACTGGAGCTGGATTAAAATTAATATGAGAAGACCCCATATACGCGGACTTGGACTCCTTCCAGTCTGAATAAACACAGTATTGTGTGTAATTCAAGGTTTTCGTGGTGCTATCTAGTATTTAAACAACACAAAGACGACCCATTAGGTTATTAATTGGCGCCACAAGACTACGTTATAAACACATTAAAATATTGGACCGATAAAAATACCTATTATAACTTRGTCGTATAAATAACAATTGGTATCACAATCATAAGTTCTATTTTTTAGTTTATCTTATCTCSCCAGTGTTAATTGAATTTAGATAACCACTCCTGATATTTTTTTCCCTTTACATTTATATAACTCATAAACAACTAAAAGTTTTTAATTATATGTAATATTACTCACGCATTTCGATTCAGTTTATTTCGATGTAGTTTGGACTACAYCATCAACTAATGGTTTCAGGTTTACGTTATACGGGATGAGAAAAATATATGAATTTTATTACTTTTAAACGAACATTTATTAAATTTAAATAAATATTTTAAGTTTTTAATTTCTAGATTAAGTTCACGGACATTCTTTAAAATTTACATTTAACCTTAGGGCTTAGATATATATCTATTTAAAATGAATAGTATTATTGTAATTCAAGACGTATAGGTATGTAAATAAATTAAGTATGAGTTAAAATAAAAATGTATAAATATATTTAAATTCTATCGGAATTTATGTTCACAACAATACGTCAAGATGAAATACAATTTCAAATGAATACCTAATTTTACAAAAATGTACAATTATATTCAGAGACAGTGTCAGAATTTGAACACTCAGAACATAGGACCTCCGTGTACTCTAAATGGCTTTAACAATGACCAATTATTAAAAAAAAAAATGTATTAATGAGTTAGACGTTACTATAAATACTAACACAGTAACACCTACCAAAATATAATTATATGAGTTGAACAAATTATCATTGGTAACCCTGTGGCTTATTGGATGATGGTAAGTGGGTAGGAGTATACTTATACGGTGTATATTATCCATTTCTAGCTAGTTTTAGCATATTATATTATATATTTATATATATTATTTATTTAAATTTTTAATTTAGGTTGATACATGGGTATACAAGTATACTGTTGTATAGTACAGTACCTACACCTATTAAAATTTTCAATGACAAACAAAATATTCTATAATTATTTGCAATTTCTAGAAGGTGCTTAGTAGATAATAAAAGGTGATGGTCAAAATATATTTTGAGAACCTAGGACCAAACTACAAAATATGATATCTGAAATTTTATGTCAAGTACTTTTAATTCGAACAAAAAAATCAGTCTAGTTAACATCATATGTTATATTTAATTTTCAGTATATTTTTTGAAAAATAATAGATTAGAAGAAATATCCAAATTTGAACTTCTTCAAGTACAAATTACTAGTATTTAATTTGCATAACAAGGTCTCAGAGAAAAAAAATTATTTTAAGCAAAGCTCATCATTTTGGTACACTATCATGTATGTATTACAGTATTTGTATATTAACAATACAAAATTTACAAATAATATGGAAGATGTTTTTCAAACTTTAAAATACATTTTTTAATTTACTCGTTCAAAAGCTTTTCATACTATATGTCATACAACTCTAAGACTGAATAAGAAGTAAAATGCATTTCTTTTAACTAATAAATTGTAACACATTGAAAATTTGAATTATTTGACAAATTCAATTTTTAAACTTCTATAAAGTATACTTTCCATTTTAAATTATAGACCTTTTTTCTTTTTTAATCATATTTTAAACTGAATTTATAGGCAATTCAAATATTTTGTTAAGATTTTATTGTGTGATAAATCCACAACACTAATTATAACCATAACAATTGTCTTATTGGATGGACTAGTTGTGAAGTTGTAGTTAAGACATTTTTGTTAATACTTTAAATATATTAATTTTGTTTGTTATTGAAGTTTTTGATCTTAAGAGATTTTTAAAATTTTAAGATTAAGATTATTACTACTAAAACATGATAAGTTTAGGTATTTTTTGGAATACCATTATAGTGAAAATTTAAATATTTGAAATGTTTAAATATAATTATTATAATTTCACCTTACAACATGGTATTTAAATGCAGTTTTTTCATATTAACTRCCAATATTTAAGTAAATAAAATATATTTTAATTTGTAGCTCATTTGCTGAGAAAAATTGCTCGGGTGGAGATATTTYAGAAATTTGTAAATTTCATTGAGATAGGTAGGTGTCTWATTTAACTTTTAAAACTCATAACTATTATAGTTTATTTAAATATTAAATGTATAAGAGTAATTTAATATTTAAGTCTACTTAGGTAATAAAAAAACAGTTTTATTGGTCATATAATATTTTTTTTAACTTAACTATAATGATTATAGTGAGAAATATAAAGGTAATTGTAACATAATTCAACCCAGGAACGATTTATATTATCTGTGTAATTATATTTACAAATAATGATGGTCAGAATATTGTTGTAATTTAAGTAAAGCTGACGTTCAAAATTTAAGAAAGAAATAGCTACTAAGTATAATGTTACTTAAAATATACTAAATAGATGGTATTTATATTTAATGGGTTGATAACTAATCCTTTTATTGTTAAGAAATAGTTATGGACACAGAGTGGTAGGAAAAATGAATAGCTCCTTTTTGTATTTTTAACAATATAATTGTCTTAAAAAAAGTGTAATTAAATGTAAAATACAGATCATTAAAATATAGTTATACATTTTTTTACCTATTTAATGCAATTCCTCATACAATTTCTGTGGTTATTYGTGAAACAGTTACCTTTATAATTTTTGTTTTGTTATATTATCATACTAGAAAAATAAGCTCTTACTTAGGAGATAACTTTTCAGTGTCAGTAAAAAATCAATACAACAAATATAATCAAGTTGATACAAAAACCATACAAGTATTTGAATTATGCAATGAGGTAAATATTTTAATGTAGGTATTATGTTAAGTTTTAAAATATTTTATTTGAAAAAAAATGAAATACCTAATTAAAGCATCTTTGTTATTCTATATTATTTTATATCTGCAAATGAAAATAAAATTATAGATAGTGGTTTGTATAAAATAATTCTGAAAATAATTATGTTTGTAAAATAATAATCATATTAAGAAACAAAAGAACAATGAACATTTAGCAGATGTTCTAGAACACATATGTTGAAAATATGATGTCATATATTTCATAAAAAAAAAAAAATATGTATAATATTATAATATATTACACATGGTAAGTAGCTATGTTTGATTTAGAGTTATTTTTTGGTGTAAACTAAATAATGTAAGTATACAATAAATTAAGCATAATAAAATCATTATTGTGTTATATAATGTAGAAGTACCTACCTACTGCATATAATACTATGAATTTTTAAACATTATTACACAAACAGGTTTGGATGATAATTGGATTGATGTTATACTTGATATTAAATAGTAATATGTTAATGATGTGTAAAAATAAAAATAAAATAAAATATATATATTAGAATTTATACAGTGGTAATTTAAACATCTCATACTTAATGAACACAATAAATATTAATGAATTTAATAAGGTCAATATTTGTATTTAATTGATAAATGGGTTTAAATTAATAGTACTACATACCAAGATATTTGTTTTTTTTTTTTTTTTTAATAGTAAAAATATAAACTTTCTGTGTTCAATAAACGTTTTAATTGAATAACATAATTGGAAAAATCTGGGTTCACTAATGTCTAATAGTCTATAATCAACTCACTTGAAACTCCATGACTCCTTAATTATATGTCTTAACAGGATGTTCTTTTCAGGCAGGAAGTACCGCCACCATTTGTTTGCAATTCTTTGACTATAGATAAATTACAACAATATTGAAATGTAAAACAATATAATATACATACTCMAAWGGAAGGAAACGTATGTTAATTTGTACATAGGACAATAGGACACAAATCGAAAACTGGACTTGGATTATCACAACAGTAAAAGAACGAAAACTTATRGTGAGGATTGTAGTCTGTAAGATGAGCAAATATGGGCATGGAGCCAACTACATACCTGATATACGTTGATCAGCAMAAACAGCGTTTAACAAATTGTTTTTGAAAAACCGATGTGTATAAAGTATTAATTTGTTTGTAAAAAAAAAAAAAAACGTAAGACGAAAAATTGCCGTCGATAATAACAATTATTGTGAGTTATGTTTGGTTGAGCGAGAACGTTATGGAAATTGGACGGTGGAAAATATACGATTTATGAGCATCAAGGCGGCAACGGTGACGTCGTAAAAACGTTTTTCCTTTTCCGTATAGCACCGCGGTGGCACAGGCGAAAATTTTTTCTGTGCGTTTGTTATTATTATTCATGWATCGCCAAACACTTCATTATCACGACAACAAAAATATGATATTATTTATTCATTGATTTTTTTAGCATATCTGATAAGCAGGTTGTCCGCCCGGCAGGAAGAAAAACGACGTCGGAGACGGTCGAGTCCGGGAGTCATCGACCCGTGGATGGCTGCGCCACCTGTCGGCTGGGCGTTGAAACGCATCGGAGTTTTTAACTTTTAACAACACCTCAGCGGCTAAACGGCGAACAGATTGCGTTAATTACATTTTAATTTCTTGCGAACGATACACGACGTACATAATATAATGTAGTATATCAATGGTCGAGAATCACGTTGTTGATGAAATGGCGATAGGTTTTTAGAAAATTGAAAGTGACGTACAGGCTTACTTGTTAGTGAAACCGTTAGACAGCAGCACAGCGCCCGTGTCGTTGACACTCACTGCCGAACGCGTTATCACAAGCGCTGTGCCGTTATCGTATTCGCATCGTGACTGGTCACACTGCTCGGCGGGCACGAGTGATTCAATATCGTTTCAATCGTTCGAGTACCGAAGTACCGAATATTGTTATTATTCGCGTACGCGGTATGCCTCTGGTACGCTACGTTTTTTACTGTTTACTTTTATGATATTCTCCTGTTCCACGCGTCGTTTTCCCCCAGTCCATAGTTTATTAGTGTACTCATGTAGTTGCACTTTCTGTTTACGGAATTATCATCTCCGCGCTTATATTTTTTTCTTGTCGCTTCGCCGGGTCATGCACCTCGTATCGTCGTTTTCAGCTCGTTGATCGACACCGCACCGTACTGATCCGTCTCCCGTCGGTCCAGATTTTTTTTCCACTGTACCGATAACGATATACAAGGCATTAGTGTCCCCCGGTTACCGGCCCATCGGCTCAGGCATTGCGGTCACTCAGGCCGGCAGTTACTACCTCGCAGCCAGCGCCTCGACCACCACCGCCGGTTCGTCAGCGCATCGCCTGYCGACGTTCCGCATCCGCGATCGTCGAAACTCAGAATTCGCATTAGTAGCGTGTATCGTCCGCGTCGTGGTCGTCTTGCCACTTACAGGTACAAACAACAGTAGAGCTATGTGATAACCGAGGATAACTGATGTTGCTCCCTAATTTAAGATATATATTTTTTTTAATTTTAATTTTACTGAAATAAAATTTGAAATCATTTTGAAATCGACTTCGGTCTTCAGGATTCTTACATCAAGTACTGTACAGTTCTCGCAGCTGCAGCCGATGCCGACCTGAGTGTACCGTGTGTTGGCCGTAGACGGGTCGGTTACCGCTTGCGGCCGATGAGTTGTTTGAAAGCCGACAGTCATGGATTTTGATTCAGACCAGAGTCTTAAGGACTGGGCAAAAGACAAACCGCTCAGCATACTCCAGTTGGATCCAGCTGACCGTGCTGTACTCCGAATAGCTGGTAAGTGAATATATTTTTACATTTTGTACTGTTTGATATTGTTTACCAATGATTGTAAATACACTATATAATAAGGCTAGGTATACATAATATTAATTAATGGGTTGGATAGAATGTTAGGAATTGATTTTTACCCTCAGGCAGTGGTTACCCCATTCAATYCATGCTYTTGATTTAGTATTCATAATGCACATCACTCTATAATTAAGTTTAGTTTACTTCATAAATGGTAGAAATTGYTTTTGCTTGTTAAACAGTTTTTATTTTGTTTTWATTGCAACCATGTGAAGCTCAACATCTAGGATAAAATATTGTGTGCTTATTTATTTTTGTTATCATTACTASAATAATTATGTGATTATATACACTCAAATATTAATTATCTGTGTGACATTGTRATGGTGTACAGAATGGTAGAATCAATGTTTCAAATATTATTTTATTTTAATAATTATACCTATAGGTATGAAAATATGATCAGAGATCAAAATAAAGTTTTTTGAATTTGGTATAATATAATACATTACACAGAGTTGTATTTTATAAGTTACTGTGTCGTTGTTAATGAAACAAAAAGGGGTAACAGTAAGCTATTCAATAATCTGTTAGTTATTGGGTTGTTATTATTATTGATATTTTAGACCTATGATTTGGCCTAAATGTTTTTGACCTTGGTACGGATTAACCTTACCTGTGGTAGTAGTATTGAGTACCACACCATGCAATCGCAACCTTTTTGTGGTAATCACAGTTCTATATGATTATAATTGTATAGGTATAATAGRTACTGTGGATGAAAAGTTGTCGACTCTCGATCCAAATAAAATAAAAATTAAACGTTAATGGCTCGTTTTTCGATTTTTTTCATGCTGCAACATTTTTAAACGTTGACAGGCCACAGGCCGTCGGAATGGAAAAAAAAAATCGCTCATTGTTATTATTATAGATTTTTTATTCAAACTCATTCGACCGGTTCACCGGTGGACCGTTTTCTTACGTTGTATATAATTTAAAAAATAACAATATTACAATGCCGATAACGTCTTATCATCGTCTGTCCGTCGTGGTGTGGCGGTGGCACACGTGTGCCGCATAATAAAAACATTAATAATAACATCGGAAATTATATTCGTGAAGGGGTCCGCTGGCCCAGTGAACTACAATTATTATTATTATTATTAATATATTTATTATTGATCGATGACGATGACTGCKTAAAAACGTATCATATCGTAATGTACCTACAACACAGACGGTCGTGATAAATGATTTACACGCGGGCCCGCGTTAATTTGCATATTTCCGTGGTGGCATAATGATTGAGAGGTTACGTGCGATCTGTGCGTGGGCGTGCGTATTATTATTACTATTATTATTTTTAAACGCTACCGCCGTAGACGCCGCTCCGTCTCGACCTTGTCCAACAGCCGCCCGTCCGTCGCCRCCAGACACGTTCCACAACGTGTGTACGAGATCTCGGATCATCCGCCACCGTTTACCTGTCGTTCGCGGCGCCCACCTCAGATATTGTATGCCTCGAGGGGTCGCGCAGATCGGGTTTTTGGGACGGCTCCGTTAGCCGGAGTCAACTCGTCCCGTTCGTTACGAGCACAGCATTGTATAATGATCCACGTTCACGTTCGATTTGTGTATCGTTTTACTTACCATTATCGTGTTGTCATCGCTATTTCGATTGGCAAATCCGATGCACAATGGACAGTATCCTATTCACATAATATTATAATACTACACCGCGTTTCCGTCATCACCACAACCCGTTACGGCGTCCGTGCGGATAACATAATATAATAATATACACATATTATTATATTTAATATTATAATACATTGACGGGCCGGAATTCCGAACGTTTGCAAATCATTGTCGTCGCGCGAGATGATCAGGCTCGCTATTCAGACGTGTTACTGCGCATCACTCTATTATAGGTACTCGGACAGAGTGATTTTTTAAACATGCGTACACCGAGTTTATTATGTTTCAAATATGCATATTGCATTAAAATTCTTATTTTTGGAATTTTTAAACTTAGTTAACTGCGGTATTTTCGAATACTTATATTTTTCATAACATTCAAAATGTTCTGAGGCCATACAAACTTTTGTTCCAAATTAGAACCTATACAAATATGTTTTACCGTAAGTTAATGCAAGAGTTATTCTACACTAAATAATAGTATATTAATTGGATATTATTTACTTATGTTTTGGAAATTATTGGGTGCAGTATATTAATCAATAAGCATTTTGTATATTATAATATTATGCAATTGTTGGAGTATACTTGGAACATACAAATTTTAGTAAGTAGTAATTAGGTATAAACAAATATTTTGTTTTGCATATCTACTTATTTGAAATTTTCGAAATCGTATTCATTTACAGAGTAATGAATGGAATATTATATCCTTAAAGTTCCTACCTAGAGTAATACGAAAATTTTTCGTTCAAATTTTGATTACAATAATAGGTAATTACGTCTACATTTTCAGAGAACTCGCCGTATTCATCATTTTTATTAAAACATGTATAATTTGAGTTATTAAAATTATTAATTATTAAAAGGTTATCATTTGAAAAACCAAAGTTAGTATCTTCGTAAGAATATGGGATAGATACTCCCATCAAATGTCGTGAATAAAAGTATTCAGAAATATCGTCTATAATTAGGTATACTAAAAATTCAAACTTCAACAATGTTAATAGATGCACAATTCAAAGTTTAAACTTAAAAATTGGGTGGAAATAATTAAAGTTAACACTGTATAGGTTCGTAGGTACATTTGAAATATGTAGTTGTAATGGGACCTAAAACCTAGGTATAATAATAACGGGTATAAGAGACATCCGAGATCCGACGCACGTTATTGTCGTTTTTTGTTTACGGTTTTGTGTATTACCTTCTGCGCACAATAGGATCTTTTTTATTCAAACCGTTTGATTCGAATTTAATACCTTGTTTTAAAATCGCATCACTATATACATGTAATATATACGCTATACCTGACACGAAAATCATAAACGCCCCGCCGCGCCGTTCTCTCGACGTGTACAATTTATATTTATATATATAGTAGTGGGTGCTATACCTTACGTGTCTTTCGTTTTATCGGCATTAAGCGGGTGTATATAATATAATGATATATAATGTATAGAGTTGTAATTGTGGTGAGTCGTTTCGGTCAAGCCAACGTAGAATTCTATATACATTATACACCGACGGTAATATTTCATAAGTAGGTAGCAACGAATGAGTGTTTGCCAGATTTTATTGTACAATCGTCGATGTAATTGAAAGTTCGTTAAAAGATACTAAATCAGCGGATGCCGCTCGTTAATCAATGATTCCGATACGACGCCGACGTATTTCGCACCAGATCGACTCATAAAATAATGAAAAACCCACAGTTGCTATTGTGTTAAGTATTTAGCTGGTATTCAGACCTGATTGCCATATTATATTGATTAGACGGTTACTTGCGGTAATAAAATATTTTAATTTTTTTTAACGATTTTACCTTGGGTAACGTAAACTTTAATCATATCTACTGCGTATCTGTCTACCTGTCATATAATATAATATATATTGTTTACAAAATACAATCGAATAACACATTTACGATAACTGAAGTGTACGTTAAAAGGCGAAGCCATACATAAATATCGAGTATTGAAGATTTTTCGTTGGGCTAGTAGCCAGCTGGGGTGGATGCTGCTGATTGTTAGTACGTTGCGTTTTAAGCTTTCCAAACGGCATGACATTAAACTTTCAGCGAGAATACATCTATTTTCGTCTCGAGTTCATGAATTGGACACTCTTCTGTGTGTAAATTCGTATCATTGATGTTCTTTAGTCTGACGCTTTCTATTGTCTAAATATTTTCTAATGAATATCCATTATGACAGATAGTTTAAATTAAGACGATAATTTATTTAAAAGTGCAGACTTTGGGAAAACTGTAGTGTTTTGCGAATCGTCTTTACTCAACTCTATCGCTTCTAAATATATCACTGTTTGTGTGTTATGTATCGAATTAATATTATACATTGTAAAGTATTAAAATTCAAAAATTTTTGTGGTAGTTAAAACCAGATAGTTTTCTATGTTAACGCTAAGTCTACGCTGTTTGGTGTCAGATATACACTCTGTGATCAAATAAAAAAACTAAATTTTCAGAGATTTATTTAGTCTTTGATTTATTTAAATAATAAATAATATATGCATATAATGCACTTATATGTACAATAAAATTTATCTGATTATTAATAATCAATTTGTTCTCAATAATTGGTTGCGATAACACCCATTATGTAGGTTAAATGGATAGTTTTTGATTAATGAACTAAAAATCGATTAAATATCTAATAATTACACTTAAATACATATTATATAGAATACAGTGCTTAATTATAGCTTTATAAGCAAACATCGTCCGAGTTTGGCTATGATAAATTCAATCATACATTTACGCAATACAAAATGGCTTATTTCAAAGAACATTTCAAGATGAGTTGATAATTTTGAAAACTTATGATGTTTTTGTAAATAGTATTTTTCCACTTTTAAACTCGTTTTCCTGTAAATTTGAATATACAAATAAAGGTATAAAAATTTACGATAAAACAAGCTATATCTTATTTGCACCTATTTCATATATTTGTTTAGTTCAATGAGTTTTAAATAGGTATTTATTTTAATACCTATACATTATACCTATACATATAACATGGAATGTTTGTGAGATAAGAAGAAATATTTTGACTTATTATTAATTACTCATTATGTAGCTATATCAAATATATATTTGAAAGGTATTTTCACCTGTAATATGATAAAAAAATTAATAAAAATTAAAAACATTTTTTCCTATACCTATTATATTTATACAGCCTAATATCACCTATAATAATATTATTATAGTCTATAAATATTTTTCAACATCACTATTGCTATTTCAATTTTTTTGTATGTAGTTATAAGTT